TATCTATCTATCTATCTATCTATCTATCTATCTATCTATCTATCTATCTATCTATCTATCTATCTATCTATTTCCCTCTAGAAAGAACATCGAATACTCTTGGACTTGAAAGCTGCAATTATATTTTGAATGGAATATTCTGACCTACGTCCCCAAGGAGAAGCAAGCTCTAAACCTGCTATTTAACATTTAATTTACACGTACTCCCCACTTAACCATCGCAACCAGAATTTCCGTCGTAAGACGTAGCTGTTAAGGGGGGATCGTTTCTATGACAGTCTTTAAAGTGAGTCACTGCAATAGTTCAGGGAATCACATAGCTGCTCAGACAACCACGCAGTGGTTAAGGTAATCCATTCTTCCAAACGAGACATTTTTGCCATTCTACCTGTTATGAATTGGGTCGGTAGATTTAATGGTCCTGTGTTCATTAATAAGCAAAGCCCATTACCAATTGCTGATAAATTCTGTAGAAAATTTAAGAGAAACAATATCACTTCCCATCTATGTCTCATCTATATCCTCTGCATCCGTATATATCCATCATGTCTTTCCATATATTCCATCTTCTCAAGACCACGTGATCAAGCTTTTTATTTGTCAGGATTCCAAAATACGTTTTCAGGATTGGTCCTGTGCATACCGCAGCCCTCTTTTCAAATCTTACCATCTTTCTTTCCCTGCGTGTTATGTTTCTTCAGCCACTCTATATTCTTTCGGATGGCTTCCAAATAGGCCTCTGCTTTTCCTTCAAAGGTAAGAAGAAAAAAAGATGCATTAAATACCAGGAGTTAAAACACACTTCAGGGGAGAAATCTGGTCTATTGTAGAGAGAATAAAACAACCAAAGGCTCTTACGCTATGGAGATTTTCAGTCATCCGGGTCATGGCTATCCCAAAACTTCTCATCCAAGAAGCTCTTAGATTAAAAGGCTGCAATTATACTTTGCGTGGAATAACCTGATTTAACCTGGAAATTAACCTGAAAACGAGAAGCTTTCTGACAGTGAGAACAATCAACCGACGGAACAGAAGTTGCCCTCATAAATTGTGCCCTTGAGCCCTTCAAGAAGAGATTGGACTGCCACCTGTCAGAAATGGTGTAGGGTCTCCTGCTTGGGCAGGGGGAGGTTGGACTAGATGACCTACAAGGTCCCTTCCAACTCTGATTATCTGTTATCTGAATATTGTCATCTACTTTCCAAAGGGTACACGAAGTCTGAATAAAAATATTGTCATTTAACATTTAATTTACACCTCCTCCTCATTTACCAACCACAGCTGAGCCTGAGAATTTCCAGTCAGAACTGAAGAAGCTTCTTGGATGAAAATATCTTCAAGAAAAAAACGAAAGTCCAGTTGCTTTTTGAAAAAAACACTTTGGAGATAAAGGTTCTTACCCTGTTTCCCTGAAAATACAACCTACCCTGAAAGTAAGTCCTAGCTTGATTTTCACATGTGTGCCCAATATAAGCCCTACCCCCCCCCAAAAATAAGCCCTAATTAAGATCCCGCCCACTCCAGAGTGGATGGGTAAAAATTAAGCTAGGGTGGGGACTCAGGGTGGAGCTACCCTACTACTTACCTTTGGATAGTTATAGCCAGGCCTTGCACACCCCAACACCTGCCTTGCCGGCCCATTTCTTCTGCAGCTGGCAAGGCTGTCAAGGCTTTCCTGAAGGCCTCTGTGGCTGATAAGAAAGCTCTGGATCGATCCAGAGCTCTGTTATCGGCTGCGGAGGCCTTCAGGAAAGCCTTGCCGGCCGCAGAAGTAGAAGTTCCTGAAGGCCTCTAACAGCGAAAAGGAGGCCGGGGACGATGTGCACAAGTGAGGTTCGTCAGTGGATGGCATCCCTCGAAAATAAGACCTGGTGCCTTTTTTTGGTGGCAACAAAAAATATATAAGACAGGGTCTTATTTTGGGGGGAGAGACGGTGTTTACTCATTAGCCATCTGAAAATGAGCAGCATGGTTTGAGAGTAGGAGGACTTTCCTTAACCCAGGAATGATTTGTCCAATCTTGTTCTCCTGCTGGCTAGGAATTCTGGGGATTGAGGTCTGAAGATGTTTTGAAACCGGGCATGTTGCGAAAGGCTCCCCTAGAGCTGTCAGATCAAACCCTGCAGGCTCATCGTAATTTATTGTGGCTAAGGCAGCAGAAGTAGTCCAGGTGGGAGGGCAAACATCCTCTAGATCAGGGGTCCCCAACCACCGGTCCACGGACCGGTACCGGTCCGTGGAACAAGTCCTACCGGGCCGCTGGTTTGCTGGGCGCCGCCATCTTTTTTTGATGAAAAAGTGCTTCCGGTGAGCTTTTCCGGGTAGAAAGCTCACCGGAAGCACTTTTTCATAAAAAAAAGATGGCGGCGCCCAGCTAATGCCGGTACCGGGCCGCGCCATAAAAAAGGTTGGGGATACCGGGCCGCGGCATAAGAAAGGTTGGGGATCACTGCTCTAGATTTCATCCAGACCCACTCAGGGGAAAATATTCATCCTGGAAATGACCTCCAGCATTTTTGATCGCTCTTATTTATATTTTAAGCAACATCTCACGTTACAGGCCAATCGATACGCTCCGCACGGACTACTGCATTTGGTAACGATTTTATGTTTTGAAAAAGGATTGGATGAATATCTCAACCAAGGGAGATGTGTTGTTCTCATTGAGTTTCGGCTGCAAAACTATCATTTGGGCTCCAAAGAAAAGAGAAAGGCCTCTGCCACTTGTTGCAAAAGCCTCTCCTGATAAGGTTGACCTTATTTAGCAAACTACCACACTATGAACTATGTTAGATAAAGGGTTTGGAAGCAACGCCATCATATAAGGAGCCCCGGTGGTGCAGTGAATACAGTGCAGTATTGCAAGGTAATTCTGCCGGCTGCCAACAGTTCGATCCTGACCGGCACAACGTTGACTCAGCCTTCCATCCTTCCGAGGTTGGTAAAATGAGGATCTGTTGTGGTTCGCCGGCAGCAGGTGTGGATGGCTGAGGTCTCGGAGAGCGAGGACTCAGATGAGGGGCCTGTGTGTGATGCAGGGATGGGGCCAGGACTGTCGGGGGTGGAATGCTGCCTTCAGAGATTGTGGAGGCTGGCAGGAGTGATGAAGAGGCCCCCGAGGAGCCTGTGCTTAGTGCGTGTGCGTGCAGGGCTGCTCAAAGGAAAGAGCAGCTGCAGCAGCACGAGCAACTCGGGAGTAAGGCTGCAAGGTAATGGGCCCTCCCTCAAGAGATAAAAGCCAGCTGAGAAACCGGAGTACTTTGCAGGAAGCAAAGAAGCTTTTGCACTCAAGCCTGGTGGACGTTCAGAATATCTGAGTTGGTGTTTGGAGACTCTTTGATTTATTGTTTAGTAACTTTATCTGATGTTCTTGGCAGCCTTGCGAAAACTTGGCAAGGCTCTTTCTTGTGGGAGCTAATTAGTTGGAAGCAGCCTTTTATCTGCGAAGAAACAGGATTCATTAATGAAATAATAAAAGGCTGTGCTGTTACCTTTGTCTTGTGTTTACTCTCTTGGAACCAGGTTTGGGTCAGATGGGGACAAGAGACTGACTCCGTAAACCGCTTAGAGAGGGCTGTAAAAGCACCGTGGAGTGGCATATAAGTGTTATTGCTATCTTACATACACGTTCGACTACTTTACCTTTGGGTTCTTCGTTGTTTCCTGCATTTTCTTCTTCGGCTTTTGTGGAATCTTTCAGGGCTTCGTATTCTTTTTCCATTTCGGCTGTGCCTGTTTTTGTGCTGTCGGCTTCCTCGGCGCTCTTGTCTAGAGGGATCGTAAGCGGAACAATTTTTACATCTTCTGAACCGCAGTGCATCCCCACAATACACTTGGGTACATTGACGACTTTGGATGCTGTAATGGTTGTGGCAAGACTGGAGTCATACAGAACAGATTTCTAGAATAGGATTACTGTTTTGGATTGCTATTTAAAGTCGATTCAAACAACTGCCAACTTCTAATTCGGCTAAGTTCACAGGAAAAAGCGTAACTGGAAGAAAAAAAGGATGCAATAGCACACTTCACAAAAATCTTACCTGATAGCTTGTTCTGGGAACTGGATTTTTCAAGTTTCTTTCTTGTCTGCAGGGCGATCATGGCATCTAGATTTTCTGGAAGGCAGAAAAAAACACACATAAAATCTCATCCTCTAGTTCTTTGTAGAATCAAGCACGGTTAGATGACTTCGTTCTGGAACCAGGAAGGGACAATTAACTCTCCAATAACTGGGCCCCTTAACATTGATGGGGACAGACAAGAGTTAAGTCTCCTCTACTCTGGATTAGTACTAGGAGTTAATTAACTGACTCCATTACATCTAACCCTGCCTTCCAACCTCGTTAAATATACTGTGCAGATAGAAACAAAAATCTATATATAGATTGCCAAATAGCTCTGCTGTGGCCATCAAGGATAATTATTTTAGGAGGGAATTCTACATTCATTGTCACATGCCGGTGTTAACCTCTTCATTTGATTGCCATGGTTACAGGTACAGTAGTGGGATTCAATTTTTTTTACTACCGGTTCGGTGGGCGTGGATTGGTGGGCGTGACATGGCTTGATGGGCGTGGCTTGGTAGGTGTGGCAGGGGAAGGATACTGCAAAATCCCATTCCCTCCCCACCCCACTAACCTGCTTTCCAGCTCTGTTTTCTTGTGCAGGGCAACCAAAGAAGACCCAGCCAATCAGCTGGGACTCGGGAGGCGGAGAATAGATGAGGGCGGGGCTAGTCAGAGGCGGTATTTCCCGGTTCTCCGAACTACTCAAAATTTCCCCTACCGGTTCTCCAGAACTGGTCAGAACCTGCTGAATCCCATCTCTGGTACAGGTAGCCCTTAACTTACAATGGTTCATTTAGTGACCGTTCAAAGTTACAATGGCACTGAAAAAAAAAGACTTATGACCGTTTTTCACAGTTACAACCTTTGCAGCACCCCCATGATTCCCTGATCAAAATTCAAAGGCTTGGCAATTGGTTCATAGTTATGACCGTTGCTGTGTCCCGGGGATCATGTGATCCCTTTTTGCAACCTTCTGACAAAGTCCACGGGGAAGCCAGATTCACTTAACAACTGGATTACTAACTGAACAACTACAGCGATTCACTTAGCAACTGAGACCAGAAAGGTCCTAAAACGGGGCAAAACTCAGTTTAAAAATGTCTCACTTTACAACAGAAATTTTGGGCTCAATTGTGGTCATAAGTCGAGGATTACCTGTACTGCATTGTTGAGTTCTACATCCATCAAGGCTAGGATGTGTTTAAAAAGTACAACCAGAGGTGGCATTCAGCCAGTTCTGACCAGTTCTTTCTTTCTTTCTTTCTTTCTTTCTTTCTTTCTTTCTTTCTTTCTTTCTTTCTTTCTTTCTTTCTATCTATCTATCTATCTATCTATCTATCTATCTATCTATCCATCCATCCATCCATCCATCCATCCATCCATCCAGAGGTGGTAAACAGGTTCTGACCAGTTCTGGAGAACTGCCAGTGGAAATTTTGAGTAGTTCGGAGAACTGGAAAATTCGACCTCTGACTGGCCCCGCCCCCATCTATTCTCCGCCTCCCATTGAGTCCCATCTGATTGGCTGGGTCTTCTTTGGTTGCCCTGCACAGGAGAACAGAGCTGAAAAGCAGGTTAGTAGGGTGGGGACGGAATGGGGATTTTGCAGTAACCTTCCCCCAGGAGTGGGGCGGGAATCGGGATTTGAACTACGCCGCCTACGTTTGGACTTAAGCGTAGTACACAAAATTATCTGCTACAATGTCCTACCAGTCAATGATTACTTCAGCTTCAACCGCAACAATACAAGAGCACACAACAGATACAAACTCAATGTAAACCACTCCAAACTTGATTGCAGAAAGTAGGACTTCAGCAACAGAGTGGTCAATGCCTGGAATGCACTACCTGACTCTGTAGTTACATCCTCTAACCCTCATTCCTTTAACCTCAAACTATCCACTATTGACCTCATCCCATTCCTTAGAAGTCTGTAAGGGGTGTGCATAAGTGCACCATTGTGCCTACCGTCCCTGTCCTATTGTCCCCATTTATTTGTCCCTATTTCCTGTATTCTTACTCATGTTTATACTTACACCTATTACCTTGTAAGCGATTGACAAATCAAATAAATACAATAAAAATGAATAAAATTTTGCAGTATCCTTCCCCTGCCACACCCACCAAGCCACACCACGCCCACCACACCCACAGAACCGGTAGTAAAAAAAAATTGAATACCACCACTGAGTACAACCACCAACCAAGCAGGAACTGGAATCTTCAGTTTATTTATTTTTTAATATACACATACTGATTATAGGAATATTAAAAAGAAAACAATCTTTTCCAGAGTCTTGACGCACATGGTTTACGGTGTGCTCTCTAGCTTAAATCCCCTAGATGGCTTCTCAAATGGCTGAATACCCTCTCTCGGGCTAAATTTTGCCCAAATAATTTTGGCTGCTTTCCTGCATAGACTAACTGAAGAAAGGGGGGGGAATGCAAGAAACTGGCTGTTTTCAGTCAAAATGATATTAGTATGTATCCTCTTGCTGGAGGTTGGATAAGTTGCAATTACTCTAATGCAGTGAGTCATTAAATGTCACTCCCCAGGACAGTTGTAGCTAAGCAACTAGTGGTCCTAGTGGTGCTTTTATAAGATCAGATGTCACTGCTAGGCTGGTTGCCTTGGTAACTTAAAAAAAAACTGAATAAGAAACTGGACCTTTCACCCACCAAGCCTTTTTTTTTTAATACCGTTAATTAAAATGCTGCCACTGCTGGCAATATTTTCCACAAACTATCTTAATAGTTGATAGTGAAACCAGCTTAACAGGATAACAGAGTCGGAAGGGACTTTGGAGGTCTTCTAGTCCAACCCCCTGCTCAGGCAGGAGACCTTATATACCTGTGATGGCGAACCTATGCCACGCGTGCCACAAGCGGCACACAGAGCCATTTCTGCCGGCACACGAGCCTCAGGCAAACTTACCTCACTGCGCATGTGCATGCCTCACAGCTGATTTTTCGGCTGGTTTGGGGCCTTTTTTGGCTTCCCAGAGGCTTGGAAAAAGACTCTGCAAGGCTTTTCAGGAACAATAGGCCCGTTTTATCACTTCCTGTAATACCAGAAGTGACCAAACGGGCCTATTATTCGACCTGAAAAGCCTTGCAGAGGCTTTTTCCAAGCCTCTGGGAGGCCGAAAAAGGCCTCAAACCAGCCGAAAAATCAGCTGTGAGGCGCAGTGCAGGTAAGGGGGTGGCAGGGGGTGGCAGGGGGGATTGCGCGCGCATCTGCAGGGGGTGTGGGGGGACGCGCATTGTATTCTGGGTGCTGGCATGCGAGTGCGCGCACACTAATGCGCGTGCAATTTCTGGCACAGGAACCCAAAAAGCTTAGCCACCACTGTTATATGCCATTTCAGACAAATGGTTGTCCAGTCTCTTCTTAAAAACCTCCAGTGTTGCAGTGTTCACAACTTCTGGAGGCAAGCCGTTCCATGGATTACTTGTTCTCGCGGTCAGGAAATTTCTCCTAGGTTGCTTCTCTCCTTGATTAGTTGCCATCCGTTGCTTCTTGTCCTGCCTTCAGGTGCTTTGGAAAACAGGTGGACCCCAGGGGTGGGATTCAAAAACCCCAGCAACCGGTTTGCTACCCGGTTGCCGGATGGGCGTGGCCATGGTAGGCGTATCCTACCGGAAGTTCCAGGAGGGCCATTTTTTTTGCCTTCCCCAGGGTCCGGAGGCTTCCCTCGAGCCTCTGGGAGGGCGAAAACGGCCTCTCCTGGGCTCCGGAGACCCTCCAGAAGCCCAAAACAGGAAACATTTCTGGACTTCTGGAAGGCCCATTTTTTCGCCCTCCCAGAGCCTCCATGCACACCCTGCACTTACCTGCATTCAAAATGGGTCAGGTGGAAACTCCTGGGTGGGGCGGGGTGGGCAGGGCCAGCTGCTTGGTTTAACTACTGGTTCAGTGAACCAGATGTAAATTTAACACCTGGTTCATGCAAACCGGTCCGAACCGGCTGAATCCCACCCCTGGTTGGCACCTTCTTTTTTTGTAGCAGCCCCTTAGATATTGGATGACTGCTATCGCCTGGCTTTCTCTGGCTCACTTGGAAGTAAATCCCACTATCTGGAATATGTCTGATTTCAAGTTGAATGTGCCCATGAAGGATGAGATGATGGAATGTATGTACAGAGGAGGCCCTGAGGGATCAGAGGAAGGGTCATATGTGGAGAGAGGACCCAGGTAGGGATGGAATGGAGATGAGAGTGAGGAATATGAATTCTGATCAAAACATCTTCTCTTGCCTTCATTTCTTTGCCTTAAGCAGCCTGGCTCCTTCCTGTCTTCTCTCTCTCTCTCCAGAAGGAGGGGGGGTCATGGGGGTTGGGGGGGGTGCTGCCTCAGACAAAGATTTAAAACTGCTTTTACTTTTCTCTGCGGAAGGAGGGGGGTCGTGGGGAGTGGGGGTGCTGCTTTGAGCTGCTCTGCAATAGGAAAGGGGTTGGAACCGCACATTCTTAGCGAGGCAGAAGTTCGCACCTTAAACCACTAGCCAGGATACAAACAAGAATAACTTGCTTATAAGAAAATCCCCCAAAACCACATAGCTGGCACATGAAACTAGGACACTTTGCAAGATATCCATAACCTGGAGGGAAACACAGGTGACGCGACATTTAGCTATGTAGGGGGCTGAGATCCAAATAACCAATATTATCTGTTATGCATGCATTATTAGCGGAAGGGCAAAGGTTGTATTCAACCACCCCTTGACTATAAAAATTGCTGTAAGATTCTCATCGAAGCTCTTGGTTAGTTTTTGAGCCAGCGTCCTTATAACTTTGTGCCACACCTTGTGTCAGGTGACTTATCGGCTTCGACACCAAACAAGAGCTCAGTTTGGGGACAACATCCATCCTTCTGAGGGATGATAACTTTAACAACAATAACAAAATCTTTCTCTTCCCGGAAGGGCAGCTATTAAAAGGAAAAACAGCATAGTCTTATTCATTACTGTTCAGAAATGGATCCAAAGAAGGAAGTTTAAATCTTGTCCACTTGTCACTGAAATTTAGAAACAAAACTAGAGTTTCTG